TATGTGAGCTTTTCTTTTTTCAACAGGATCACTGCAGTACATTTTCATGACTTCAGAGTACATTCTCATAAATGACATCACAATAAACCTGTTAACCATAAAAATAGTGTCCTGTGTTAGAGACACACTGTGATCACACAGAACATCCAGATGCATTACATAATGTTGTAGGCCAAAAACAAACCAAAAAAAAGGAAGGGGACCCTGTGTGATCAATCCAAAAATCCTCTGCATTTAAAAGGCTACAAAAGTGTTGGTCAGTATTGTCTGTCCATCTTCAGTGAAGTTTTACTGTGAGCATCTAAAATCCACACATTTAAAACCACGTCTTTTGTCTTTTTTTTTTTTTCTTTTAATTCCATTTAAAGAAAAAAATCTAAATGAAAGGGGAAGGAAAAGTAACAAGCAAACTGTTACACAGATCTTCGCGTGTCTCTGTGGAACAACACCATATAAAAGCAATGAGCCAGACCCAGATACATGAATGAATCCCAGACTTTCTGCAAATCATCTACACACTACTTTTGAGATAAGTCATACCAAGTAATAAATAAGCCATGTAGCTAAGCATAGTAGAGAACAATTAATCTGTCCACTACATTTTATCAATATAACATCATAGTCAAACAGCCAGGGGGAGGCTAGGAATCAGGAATTGAGTTCAATCCATTCCTATCGCTTGCAAGAACTCCAGAGGCTTTACAGAGGAGACAAATGCAAATTAAGTCTAGTAGCACAGGATAAATATCAGTTCAGTCTTAAGTTGGACATGTTTCTTTTCGGGGAGAATACAGGAATTGTTTCTGTATGTGAAGAGTCTAACCAACCATGAAGGTATGTTTCCATTCTGAGTTCTCTAGTTTTTGTAAGGAAAAATATATACAAAGAGCAAAGCAGAAAGCATAACATTTGAACTAGGGTCTCGAGTCCCAGGAGGCTCCCTAGGGCACAGGAGGCATCCCTCTCCACTATCAGAGATGTCTCCCTTCATGTTAATTATTATTGAACTTAGACAATTAAAAAATTCTCTTACGCTTTCTGCTAACAGTCTACAAAAGCTGATTTGTTACCTTCCAGAATTTCAGGATTAGTCCCAAAATATGCTTGATTGAAGTCTCTACAAGTAGATTTATTTAGATATGAAAGGAAAAAACTTGTCTTGCTCACTTCATTCTGTTTCCAGTGCTCAGCACCCATGAAATGGATTGCTTATGGGGAAATAATGTCTTTTTTGTGCCTTCCAAAGTCTGTGAAAAATGTCTTCCTGGTTAATAGGTTGATTAAAACTGTATATGCTCCAGAAGACAAATATTATTATTTATCATACTTGCCCAAGATAATGACAGTAAAGAAGACAAGGTTGAAACTCTGTATGATTTCTTCTTCCATGTCGAGGGACATTCAGCACACAATAAGCAGATGGTGTGCCACATAAAGGATCACATTGACTGTTAAACATTTTTTCTTCCCATTAACTAATTTAACAATATGTCCCTGCTATTAAAGAAATAGACAAATCACAGGAAACTTCTGTCAGCTTAATTCTGATTGCTAAAATAGGCCATTTGCCCACATGGGATTGTTTTCTGGCCTATCAGGTTCAAAACGTCTAGAAATTCAGCAACCACTAGCCCAGACTCTCAGACTGTTTATTCAGCTCTTCATCCTTAATTGAGTTTCAGCCATGTAACTCCCTGGAGATTTTTGAATGACAGCCTAAATATTGAAGGCTCTGCATGTATGTTAGATGATGTGAATCTTCTAAAACATTTTAAGTTCTTAGCCTGGTTTAAGTCAGCAGATGCTGTAGGTGACAGGAAACACAGTAAAAGTCTGTGACACTTTTTTGTCAGAGTGGGCAGTGGACCTTATTAGACAAACATTTCCAGTTAAACAAACTGGAAACATCATTTGCCACCCTCTACAGCAGACACTTACTGACCTCGGAGCTGGTGGTACTGTGGAGGCTCCTGTGCTGGGTGCAAGGATGGTGGAGCAGTCTGCCTATCACTCTTCCACACACAGCCCTTTGCCATACTGATCTCTTTTCATGACTGGTTTCCTATTTTGCTTTTTGCTGCTAAGCAACGTAGTGTTATTCTAGGCTCATGTATTATTAAGTATTAGCCTACAGGCTAATTTTAGAAACACACATAGCCTCCATTATTCTTTCACCTAACTGTGACCAGAAAGTTGGTGAAAAATCAATGTAAATGAAACTGAGAGGTCAGTTGAAAAGTGACTTGAAACAACTTGAAACTCACTGCAGCTATGCTATATTACCCACTTCAAATAGCAGTTTTCTAAACATCCCCTTATTTTACTGTAACTTTTTGGACAGAAAAAGTTGATAATGAAAATAAACTTTCTCTTCCATATTACATTAATCCACTCCCTTGATGCAGCAAGACAGTAAGTAATTTTTTAATAAAAGAGAAAGCATTTAGGGAGTCACTGGACCCACCAACTTCATGTGCCAGCATCTACTCCTACTATTTAAGTCTTGAAACTTGATTATATTTTTAATGTTTATCATCTGTTGTTGTTTTTTGCCTACTTTAATTTGCTCATTTTCAAAAATACACTCTGGTATCTAGCTGCTATTGGTGTACTAGATACTTTCCCCCTCTGTTTGCTAATGGCTTTGTTGTGGTTTCCAGTTACTCTTTGACAGACATTTTCATGAAGAGAAAAAAAAGAACCATCACAAAAACAGCAGAACTTTCAGTAAATGAAAAGAGCTTCAAAGTGCAATGAAGAAAATCCCAGATGTCCCATGTTGCCAAAAGTACAGAATAAAGCTTGGAATAAGATGATCTATGAATTCTGCTCTCTTTGGAAGATGTATTATGTTCAGCCTTAACCTGGACAGATTATTGGTCTCTACTCTGCTTAGCTACATGGCTTATTTATTACTTGGTATGACTTATCTCAAAAGTAGTGTGTAGATGATTTGCAGAAAGTCTGGGATTCATTCATGTATCTGGGTCTGGCTCATTGCTTTTATATGGTGTTGTTCCACAGAGACACACGAAGATCTGTGACAGTTTGCTGGTTACTTTTCTTTCCCCTTTCATTTAGATTATTTTTTTCTTTAAATGGAATTAAAAGAATTTACTTCTCACTCTAGTTGCCCTGTGAGTCTATTTTAAAGATTTCTGTCTGTATATTTCACTATGTTAGGAGTTTTCGAAGACCATCATCTGGTATGTCCATATAATTGGGCATCTCCAGATTTAATTAATCCTATCTGCCATATGGAATTTTTCTTTTTAAATGCAGCTACACTGATCCAATGGCTAACCTCTCCCAGAAAGGGACAGCTCTCTTGTGCCAGCACTAGCACTTGTCTAAGTGTCCAGGAGCAGCCGTTCATTTTAGTACCCTACAGGTCACCCTCTGGCCAGCCCTGTCATTCTCCACTGACTGTGCAGGGACCTTTGGATAATTGATTTAGGTTTGCTATTTAATCCTGATAAAATCCAGAAACTAAAGGTAAGCAACCTTCAGGACATCACATGATTTGAGTTTCAGTAGTTCCATTTAGTACTTGACAAGTTTAATGACATGGCTACTTGTTAAGCTTGGTAACTCGGCACTGACACGCATAAGCAAAGGCAATACAGGTATCAGCATGCACACAAACTAACAGAATATGAAAACTGTACCATTTTTTATGTGCATATGATGGCAGTATTCACCACAATTTATTTAATATTGGATTACAAGCATCAAACAATGGAAAAGATGTCAACTATTACACTTGAGTTGCTTTCAAGATACTATTTTAGTGTCATGTTTCATAGGAAAACTGTACTCTATTATTCAACTGACATTTAAAGCTTTTTTTTAATGTTCTTTCCTAGGAATATAAAGACTTATTCACAAAAGATAGGTTTTAAGAGGACTTTATTAAAATCTGACAACTGACTAATTGGACTGTGTGCAATTAATAAAAAAAAACCTGATAACTGAGCATTCAGCAAAGGATTGTTCACGGATAGCATATGTCTTTTAATGTCTCCAGTTTTACAGATCTACAGTTCTGCAAATACAATGTTTCAGTAAGACATCATTCTTCCTAATTTACACCCATCCTTCAGGAGATAACTGCAGTGTGGCAAATGTCACGTTGGTTCTACTGGCAGAAGAGCCACAGGAACCACCAAGATACAAAAGAACTAGCCCTGCCCATACACTTTCTCAGCAGAAAATATTTGTGTGGGACAGACTGCATGTCTCACTATTTTACTCCTTTTTCACTTACAACTTACACTGCTATACAAATATAGTAGAGACTTTTATGCAAACTGTCAGATTCACTATTGTGGGATCAAAAAAAAACAACTACTCCTGAGAGAAAGAGATCTCTTCTGCTGCGCTGCAGAGGAGCTCAGTAGGTCACTATGTGTATATAGGATGTTTTAAACTTTCCCTTCAGACATACAGAAATGGTTCAGTTTAGATGCTTTCTCTGTTGCAAATTTAAATATCTATTTTTAGAAGAATGCACTGTATGCTTTACCTTCAGGTTCCATAACAGATCTGTTATTATTGACTTGATGGTTATATTCCTAATGTGACATGTAAATGTCACTGGAAGTACTGTTCTTTGCTTCCTAGAGAAATTTTCTAAAATTCCCCTTAAAATGCAGAATGGGATAAGAGTTTACTGGGGTTTTGTTCTCATATTTGCTACTGAAGATCAGTTTCTGCATAAGAGAAAGTCTTTTTTCAAGTTGGATACAACTTACCTTGGAGGGTTCATTTCCTCATAAGTCAACTGTACCAAACACACTGAAAAGTACAATACAAATTATTTTGCTTTGTTTTGGTTTTAAATCCCTTGCTACTAGACGTTAACTGGCATCCCCAGGTTCAGAGAATGCAGCCAGTAACATGCTCATTCTTCTGTTTTTCAGATGGGACACTTTTGCTACTTCTGCTACTTCTGCTTCTGTTCTTGCTGAAGGAGACATCTCCAAATGGCTCCGAGTCCTTCACTTGGATTTAAGTAAGTCTTCCCATTCAACAGTGGGCTCATTAGTTTTAGGAATTGCTGGAAAGATGGACTGCATTTTTGTTTGGAATTCTTTCATCTATAAAAGAGATTAAAAAATAAGATCAGGTAATTGTTAATAAAGAACAAATAAATAGGACCATGAACCTTGTGCTTACTGCACACAAACAAGCTGTGTGAGAAGTAAGGAAGAGGTAAAATGACTTCAAAAATAACAGAAAATTAAGACTTTGCCCCTGATTAAGTTAGTTCAATTTAAAAAGTGGGAAAAAATATGAAGGGGGCCACAAGAATCCCCTCTTCTAAAGCACCACACTGGGGAGCCTAATTGGGACCACTTGCCTGAATGATTCCCTACTGTTTTATGAACTACTATATTTACACACATACATTTAAAATTATTTTGTTTATGCCTGTATTTTGGCCACAATGCCTTTTTCTACACTTGTAATGGATTAAAGGCCCAATAGGTCTGTTCAAGGATTTTAAAACAAGGATTAAAGAAAAAATATTGGCCAGCTCTGACAATTCAGGTTTATCCCACCATATGGATTCAAGTGAGACTAAAAGTCTTGTTCAAATGCATACATTAGAAGCAAGGAAAACAAGATTCATACTGATATATAGGGCCAAGCTTTTATTTCACTGTTTTTACATTAAAATACTGCAAAAGAAGATTTTTACTAGTGTTATATTCTGTATATCATTACATTCATATAAATTGCGAATATATATTTATGATAAATGTGTTATCATCAATGGCTGATTCAATAGGCCTGGAAGCCCAGAACTGAGATATAATTTCTTTAAAAATCACTTCTGTTTGAAGGCAACATTTAGATTTATCAGGTTTCTTTCTTCCAAGATTTTTACATATATTCTTATATTTATCCTATTTATATATTTTTAAAGGGTAGAAATGGGAAATCAAGTAAGTCAAAATCCTGTTACACAAACACCAGGATGTACAGGGGGAGTTTTGGCCTGCTATTTCTAGAAAGATCTACAGAATCTATGACATTCACAGGATGAAGACAGGATGTGGTATTCAAGCACTGAATGGAATGACCTCTTGAAGACCAAACACTGTCTCAGGCAGTATGTCCCATGGAGAGGTTCCAGGAAATCTAGATACTCTAAACAGCCACACAGGCATCTTCTCTAATATGCCTATATTTTGGTGTGTTATGGGTCACCAGTTTTTTTACAAATACCTTTGGGCCATTTTCTGTTTGAGTCCTTCTGTGTTTGAATAATTCTCACAACTGGTATTTCTCTATAGAAATGTTGCTGGAATACAATTATCCAAGATTCAGCTGATACAAAGAATGAAACAATTTACAAAGAAATTGCCAATCCTTTACTAAGACAATAACTAACCATGATGGATGAAAGCATTTTAGAACTTACGTTTTTGTGTAAAAATGGCTGGTACTGCTAATCAAATTAAAATATGCATTATATAAAGTAGAGGAAATTCCAGAGCCAAATTATCCTTTGTTTTATCCTGATTGTGTTCTTATGTAAAAACTCATTCACTGTCTGCTTTATGCATAATTCTGATCAGATAGCTGTTTTGATTAATTACTCACTCTTGGATTTTAAAAATCTTGGCACTCATCCACAGTTGTTCCTGAATATTTTTTTCTTATTATTTAAAACTGAAAAGCTCTCATAGACAGCTAGTATTTCCAAGAACTATAAACACCACTATCAGAGCTGACATAGGGGAACAGCCCAAATTACATTAAACAATTGCTGACAATTAAATACAAGTATTTACAGTAGGAAATGCTTCAGGAGCTTTGGCTTAGCTGTTTTTTCCAGTCCTCTGTAATTAAGTTACCCCAGTTCTCTGCTGTGCAGAAAGTATTCAATTTACTTAACATTTTTTACTTCCTAAAGAGTGAACAAACTCTTCTACTCTTTCATCTCATCCTAAGTATTATGTGGGTGTTTTGTGGGTGTTTGGTAACACAGGAACGGTCAGATCCTAACCTGGTGTAAACTGCTGTAAGCTCAGTTGGTATAACTGGAAATAAAACATGGTCTAGTAGAATGTGGATTTTTTTACTTTTAAATTTATTTTAGTGTCAAAGTCAAGTGACACATTGACAAGCCCTACAAGATACCTCCATTACACCACTGAAGACACACAAATCCAAAGGCAAACTAAAAGCAATCATATAAAGTCTCCAAAAAGAGGCTGATGGGTGAGGCAACCATTCAGAAAACTACAGTGCTTCTTCACTCTTAACAGCTACCTTATATCTACTAACATGCCAAACCCTAACCCTCAAAATGCAAAAAGCAGTCTTGTCTGGGAAATAAAAAACTAAAGCTCTGTTCTGAAAGAAGAAAAGGTTATTTATTTAGAAAGCACTAAAACAAAGCTAGCAGCTGAAGATTTAAGAATATTCAGATTTTTCTCCCCTTAAAAAACTAATTTATGTTCTGCAGGTAAAAGCAATTCATTTGCTGGAAAAGCAGTTTTTCCTTAACACTTGGACCAATCTGAAATACTCAACATCTTTTGCTTTTACACAGAATCACAGAGTCATCATAGTTGGTAAAGACCTCTAAGATCACCAAGTCCACCCAGGGGAAAGAAAACAAAACCAACAAACCACAACCACACACCCCACAAAACCAACATCACCCACAATCCACAAAAAACCCACCATGCCAACTAGAGCATGCCCTGAAGAGCCACATCTACACATTTCTTGAATACCTACAGGGATGGTGACTCCATCACCTCCCCGGGCAGCCTGTTCCATTGCCTGACTACTCATTTGGTAAATAAATTCTTCCTAATATCTAATATCTAATCTAAAGCAGACTTAAGACTCCCTGAGAAATTTCCTCAGCCTTGCCCTCTCAGATTTTGATGTTCATTTGTAAAAACCACGTTGCAAATTATGCCATTATGTCTCATTTATCACTACTTCTCCTGCCAGCATCTGTGCCCTTTTCCACAAGCTCCCTCTGCACAAAATAGGCTTTCATTGCAATTTACAACTTTGACTATGTTTTATATTTTCCCACAAACTTTCTTGCTTTGTGACTCCTGGATAGTGAGCTATTTTAACAAATCATAGTGGCAAGCTGATCACCACTGTGATCTTCTCAATGTTCTGCTTTAGGTTGTCAGCAAGTTAATAAGGACATTATCTACAGTGACTGGAATGGTTCTCACTAATACATCATATCTTCACAGGATGTCTGAATGAGGCCAGTTTCTTCACAATACAAATGTCACAGCTATCAACTCTTACTAGAAGTTTTAATTTCTATACAACTTAGAAGATACCTCACCCTGTTATTTCTCTCCACAACAGTTCTGGAGTTCTCATTAATAATACGTTAAGCAACATAATTAGTACTAGCTATGAACCCCATCTCCCTATCTCCCTCTTCTCCCAGTAAGAAAGTGCAGTACACTTTCCTTAAGGCTTTGATCTGGACTTGTAAGGTATCTCCTTTTTCTCTTCTGTTCCACTAATAACACCAGGTTCTGACTTTCTTCCTCCATTTCCACAATTGTGCTTTTTGCTGTTCTGAATGTTCCTCTTTACACTCAATAGCTCCTTTAATGCTCACTTGCCACACTCCCTAAAAGCATGGAGAAGCCTTTGAAAAACAACTGTTCTCTGAGGTAATGGGACCAGGGTATAAACATAAATAACCATGGAAACTGTATCCCTAAGTTCTTATCCCTTCTCTCCCAGTGTCAATATCTGCTTCCTTATGAGCTGTTCCAGTATCAAATCTTAGGCTGTGACTTCTTTCAGTCAACTACTATCAGTTCAATAACCTGGGCTTTGACTGGCCAAATTCTATTTAATAGATGTGTATATTTAGGACTAAATTTGGCCTCCAAAGTAACTCTCACTGGCCTCAGCATTGTTGTGACTTACATTTTGTTGGCAGTATCATACCAGGCCCATTGAAACTTCAGAGGATCCTTGTAGTGAAGGTTAAAATGGTTCACTAAACATGTAAATTAGCTGTCCTCCAATGAGTTGGGCTTACCAGCTTCTGCAGTGTGGTGAAGATGATGAATCTAGCTTTATGTCTATTAATACTGCACACTTTCCATGCAAGAATCGGGACCTTGTCTTTACCTGCTTTACCTCTCAGGGGACAAACGCTTCCAAATGAGGGAAATTCTGCAATTAGGAATCTATATCTTGCCTTGCCTTTTCTTTTTAGCAGACATGCCAATTAGGAGGTTTCTTCTCCCCACTCCCTCCCTGGAAATCTTCTGTTTCCTCCAGATTCCACAATACACATGCCAGTGGTCTCAAATGAGAAGTCATTAATTTAATTATGAAAGCTCATGTGCTATGTACTAAGTACTGGAATGTTTTTAAATAATTCATTTAAATGGCTGCCTCTTTATTATTGTCAGCCACACTGACACTGGGGTACTCGGTTCAGCTGTGATAATGTCCTCGATTAATAGCGCAATAAACCGAGCACTAAAAGCTGAATGTATTTTACCTCTTTCTGCTGCCTTCAGTATCACAGGCCACCCTCTCAGCTGCCGCTTCTGAACCTAGTGGTACAGGAATGACTTGTAATACATTTCTTGATTTAACATTCCTGCAATCTCCATTGCTCGAGGCAAGTCTCTGAAGTGAATTTCACTCAAGTGATTTTTTTTTTTAATCACAGATATTGCAAAGCTTGATGCTGTTTATTCCTGCCAAATAAATTGCAGTAACTGTTCCCGCTCTGTCAGGCTTCTTTTTAAAAGGGTATCATCTACCTTACTGCATTAAATAATCTGTAATAGCTACAGATCGCTGTTATTTTCTTATCTTAACCTAATGATCCTGCCTCAGGTGGCAAAAATATGGGGACCTAAAAGCATCTTCCATTTAATAATCTCTTTTTAATGTATATCGTTGACAGAATGTCATGTAAAAATTGGGATAGCACTATTACTGAGAGCACTTTCACAGACCCTCATATGAAAATGAATAGAAGAGGGGCTAAAAGAGTCTGTTTGAATCCTAGAATGAAAGTTTTACAAAGAAATGTTCTCTTTAATGTCTGTCATCCATAACAGGC